GCTCTCTCTCTGTTTGTTTTCTTCTCTCTCTCTCTCTCTCTCTCTCTCTCTCTCTCTCTCTCTCTCTCTCTCTCTCTCTCTCTCTCCCACACACACACACACACACACACACACACACACACACACACACACATGATGTGTCTCACTCAAGCGGTACATCTGCTGGCCCCTTCCCTCGTGCGGTTGAATGGCTGGAGGTGAGCCCCCGATGGGTCTTCGGTGCCTCGTTAGGCAGGTGAGGTCAGCTGGCCGGCCGGAAGTCTGGTCTCAGGAAAGGGGGAGCAGACTGGTCCAGCGGAGGACGGTTAATCACGAAGGCGAGAACTGAGGGTTCGGTGGATGCTGGAATTGCAGCATCTGTCAGAACTCAGAACCGTGCACCAAAAAGTGAATTTTATTGTACGGTCAAAGAAGTGGGATCTGTAGGTAGAATGTAGATAAAAGTTTTGTTTTTAGAAGACAGTTTTTGTACACAATGTAATTTGTGTCACATGAGGAAGGGGCGTAGGCCATTTGCTGGAGACGCCCCGGGAAGCCTGTCCTTGCTGTGGGCACACTCGGAACAAAAGTGAGCGTGTAGGCTTGCTCTTGCTTGCACTTCTGACATTTAAAAAGTCCGCTTTGATGTCTTGTTATTTATGTAGTCCTTGTTATGACATCTTTAAGTGCATCTGATTGAAAGATTCAGTGTGGCACATAGAATTTATTTTATCTCTGATAGTGTTTTATTACAAATTACATAAATTATATCCATCTGGGTCTCCACATAGTACAATCACCAATACCCAATGTCACGTACCAATTCATACTTACACATCTAGGTACACGTATGAAAAACGTGTATATCTTTGGTTAATACCACAAATAGGTAAACTGCATAGAGCATTAACTCAGGCTTTATTCGGTGAGTCAGGTCTAGTAAAATTAAGACATAAAATAATAGGTTTATGTATTTATTTCATTTGGTTGTCTTTAAATACATTCTTTAATAGTCTATTTTGCTTAAACTGTTATCTCAAATAATTTTAAGTGGAAATTCCATCAGTGATAATATATTTTCACACATGTATGCTGAGTACACTGTAGTCCAAAAAATATGAAATACATTTTTCTTAAGATGCAAATACTGAAAATACGGCCACATCAATGGGCAGAAGAAGCTGAATGTTCGCCGACCCGTGCCATGCCGGGCTCGCCGGCGCCTGATACCCATCGCGCCCGCGGCTCTGGGGCCCCTGTTACTCGGGTGGGTGGAGCGGTACAGGTATCGAGAGGCTCGTCGTGCTGTGGATAAGTGTTGGATAATGCCTATCTCGTATTTCCACTTGAGGAAAAGTAAGATTTTATATGTGTTCGTAGCGTAGAGTGCGTTCTAATGGCACATCGTTAAGGAGACTCATTTGTCTGGGCGTTTTAGGAGGACGGCCGGCTGTCAATACCATACGTAACAGAGGAGTGTCTGAGAAAGCTGGATACGAAGCAGCAGACCAGCACCCTGTTAGACCTGGTGTGGAGGGACTCCGCGGGCCAGGAGGCCTTCACTCTGGTGGCCGCCGTCTGCCACACGCTCATGGTGCAGCATCGGGTGATGGTGCCCAAAGCCAGGCAAGTCCGCTTGGGGTGCCGGCGCGAGAGCGCGGGGGCACGCCTTCCTCCCTGTCCCCGCTTCGGTCTCCGTCTGCACCGTCTTCTCCGTTCTTCCCTCATAGGACGTGCCGTAGAATGTTCTGCTGTCCACGCACTTGGTGGAAAATGCAAGTTTTTCTTTCCCGAACCAACTGTTCTGAGTCCTTTTCCTGGCCGTGAGTCTCTGAAGCGCCCTGTGTGTAAGACGTTAATAAATGACAGAAGCTCATTTTTCTGTAACGTCTTAGGAATGAGAGCAGTTTGGTTCTAACCTCCCACTTTGAGAGGCGGACTCATGCCTGCCCTGACAGCACCAGCACGCGGCGTCTTTCTCACAGTTCTCGCTGTCAGGTTGCCGCGACAGCTTACTCTGGCGCTCTGACAGTTTTGTTTTTCAAAAGTTTGAAGAAACTTTTGAGACGGAAAAGCAAGTTAACGTGGCTTATTTATGCTTAGATATTTGCGATGATAATCTTGAACTATTTTTTTCCCTCTATTTTGAATGTCAGTTTAGTGATTTCTTGGAACTTTAACAGAAAAATATTAAATAGAGCTCAGTGCAGAAATATGTAGTGATTCTACTAGGAACAGAGGGACTGGCGTTAGAGGCCACCTGCTGCCAGGCCCTGTCAGTAAGTAGCTCCTGCATTGTCAGATGACTTAGGTCACCCCAGAGGGTCCACTTTGGTTTTATAAAATGCTAGCCCCAGACATGAAAAGAGCTGTTTCTTGTGTTAGGAAAGTGTCCTTTGGAATGAGCTGTGTGTGGGAACATGTCATCAGCCGAAGCCGCCTCGTCAGCACGGACACAGCCCGCTAGTTGGGTGCTGTCTGAGCTGACCCGCGTTTATTGCTGTTGGAGGAACTGAGATGCCGTGAGCTGTGACCCTCCCGGCGATTAGCTCCTGGTAGCTGCTTGCCTCAGAGCAGGATGTGGGATCCGAGGGTCCGAGCCCGCACTAGGTGGGACACTCGCTTTTGCTGTCGCGCAGAGTGCACCGCGAGTAGTTGCTGGGGAGCGATGGCTGTATCTCCGTGCGCCGCTGCCCTGGTCTGCGCCCAGCGCGCCGCCGAGGAGCTGCGTGCAGCCTGCTTTGTGGGGGCGGCGCCCGTTTCCTCTGCGAGCTGCTTGGGGGGCTTCGTTATGGCCTAAGTCTGTTAGGCTTAAGTGTTTAGAATGTTTTCTAGCTCATGAATGAGCAAATAGGCTTGCTTTAACCGGCGTAGTTTTTAACTGCTTTCAACTTTTGTTTAAAACACGATTAGTAGATTCCTGGCCGAGAGCTCACGCCCGAGTCCCCCAGGCTCCTGTCGTCCCTCTTCCTGTCCCGGTGGAGATTTGCCATCGTACTTTGTGTCTAGCAGTGATCGTCAGCTGCTTAGTCCTTTTTTGCTCGGTCGGTCTCTGGGTGAGCTGTCCCATACAAGTGGCTCCAGCCACTTCCCACAGTCCACAGGGCTGTGCTCGGACCCCTCACGCCTCCTGCGGCCGAACTCGGCACCTCCCCCAAGCCCGTGCGCTGCGGGAGCTGCTGTGCAGGGCCGCTGCTAGTGGACCACGAAATTCAAGCGCAAGCCCCGTTCCTCGGCTCCACCGGCCGCGTTTCCCGTGCCCAGCAGTCACGTGTGGCCAGTGGCTCAGAGTGGTTTCACTATCTCAGGAGGCTGTGGGGCCGCGTGCGACCCTGGCGCCGGGCCAGCATCTGGGTCCGCATCCGGGCCTGCCTCGGTAGCGCCCCCTGCTTGTGGCCCCTGCAGTCTGCGAGCGCTGCTCTTTGCGTGCCGTGCTTTGCTAGACTGAATCGTCAGAACGGAACCCCACTTCCTGCATCCTCCTGTTTAAACATCTGCCAGTGGGTCCCCTTTGCTTTCAGGGGAGCACGCCCCGTGGCTGGCTGGCTCGTGGAAGCTGCCCTTACGGCCATTCGCTTATCTCCGACTTCATTTCTAGCCACAAAACACGCTTAGCCTCGGCCGTGCTGCGCGCCTGCGTTTCCTGGATCCCGCCGTGCTGCTGTTGCTGTTGCTGTCTCGTCCCTCTCCTTTGCCTGTGCCGGTCTCTGTCCAGAGGCGTCTTCCTGCTGCTTGTCCGTCTTGGCTGAGCTGTCCGTCACTCATGCTCAGGTCGCCGTCTTTCAGAAGCCTCCCATGTTTGTACTGTGACGCGTCCCCTCTAACGCCTGCTCCAGGGGCATTTTCATTTTATGGCAGCTGTTCTGTTCGGAGTGTTCATTTGTAAGGAGTTGGGTTTATGTGTAAGGTGGGTAAATGGGCATATTCTTGGGGCCGTGGCTGTTTTGTTCTATTAATATCTAAAAACTTTGAAACAGAATTTCAAGGGCAGTGTTTTAGGGATCAGCAAGGTTGACGTTACAGTTTGCCTATAGTTTTCTTGCAAATGCATACAATCCTAAGGCTTCACAGATCAGTTTTGTTGCACCACATTCTTGCGTTTTCTACCAAAAGTGGCTGGAATGAGTCAGCTTGACTGCATGTTATCAAGCATCGTGATTTAGACTCGTGTCCTGAAAGCGGATGGCGCCCCCGCCCCGCGCCCCCGTTTCTCAGCGTGCTCGGCCCCGGACCGCAGGGCCGTGTCCTCCGTGGTCCACACGGAGCCCGGAGCCCCTCACAGACGTGTCCATGGGCGGAAGTGCATGCTCGTGTCGCGTGTGCAGTGCAGTTACAAACCGCTCACGCTTTTGTAAGTAGGTTTTCATAGTATTTTTGAAAAATATTGAGGGTGTATGTAAGAGAGAAACAAATTTGTTTTTTTAACCTGTAATTTCACATTTACTTTTTATTGTCAGTCACATTTTATGTATAACCAATAGATTTAATCAGCTATTGATTCACGTTAAAATTCCATTCTGTTAGGTCAAATAAAATTCGTGAGCTTTTTAATATTTCAACACAATGATTTTTTTATTAAATCTCTTTTGAAATCATATGTAGATGATAAATTGGCAGCAGATATTGGTAGACACATCAAAACAATAAAGCAGGCTAGCTTTAGTCACATTAAGCAGTGTAGTCTGTAGTGAGTGTCGAAACGAGAATTTTGTAAACACTCGCGAATGGTAGGTAGATAATTGATCACAGGTGACGCGGAGGGTCGCGTGGGGAGGGCGCGCGGGGAGGCTGTGGGGAGGCTGTGGGGAGGCCGTGGGGAGCGTCCGCTGCTCCGTTTTCAGGGCAGTGCTAGGAAAACGGTACGGGGCCTCGGGGGGCCTCGGGGAGCGTTGCGGCAGCAGCAGTGGGGCCGCTTTCCCATTTAGTTCACACTGGCCTGAGAGAGAGTGCGTTTGCGTCTGCTCGTGTTAAATGAAGGAAGTGAGTTGTCAGCAGAAAGGGAACCGTGTTTGAACTGGCTTGGGTTCTAGCGCAGGGCCGTTCATCTGACACAGCCATGCCTAACGCTTCTCTTCCATCCTCAGTGCCTGGTTTGCCGGGGAAGAAAAATTTTTTGGCAGGTCGCCTCCAACTGAAATATGTCTTGAAGTTTTTATTATCATTAAGGAAATTTAGAATTTATTTTTAATCTTGCATTATCTCAGAGGTGAAATGTATTTTAATATTGCAATTTAATATCGCTTTTGCCAATAAAGTGGTGCTTTGAGTAGGAAAACGCAAAGTGTGACGTTTGTACTTGTGTGCTACAAGATTGGGGGTGTCTCTGGGTGGCTGACTTATACTTCTTTCACCTGTGACAGCTTTACATACAGCGTAGAGCTGAGAACACCTTGCTGTTGTGACCCCTACTGTCTGTGTGAGCTGGTGTCGTCCACTGTGTTCTCTTTAATAACTTGAATTGTCTCTGCAGACAGCTGGCTGGAATTTATGACCTGAGTTGAAAGTGTCGCCCTTTACTAATTAACTCAAAGGGTTGTCTTAGCTAAATAAAACTTAATGGCTAATTTTTAATGTTTCCCAATATATGTAAAGAATGTCACTTTCTCTAATTGAAAAATAAAAATTGAAAAAAAAAGAAACATAGTACCAAAGAAAAGAAAAGAAAATGTCCTTTCTTTCTCTTTTAGCAGGAAAGCCCCAAACTAAACCGTCAGTAATTTATAAAAATGTTTAAGAATTTATTTTATTGTTGTCTATTGAGTGATTTAGGAAATATAATTGTTTCAAAGTTAACTTGATATATAACTTTTGAAATGTGTAACCATTAAAATGGTGTTTCAGATATATATGGTAAGATGTTAATTATAATTTTTTGTGAGAAAATATGTTATAAGAGAATATATTGGGAGAACCCATTTTGTTTACCCGCGTACACAGTATTTGTAAGATTGATACCAAAGCTCTAACTCTGTGTTTCTGGGAAGCTTGGGTGAAATGTTGCTAATTTTCTTTTGCCTTGTGGTGTCGTTGTTGTTAAGAAAAACAAAGGAAACACCTTTTGAAAGGACGTAGTTTTTCAGGTTTTCGAGGTGCTCAATATTAGTATTTATATTGAACGCAGTTTTGAGGAATCTTGCTATCAGTAACATTATACTAGATAATTTTTAAAAAGAACTCAGTTTCTTCACCAAAGAGAAATAAGGCCAGGAAATACTAGCCTTCCAGAGTTTGTTTATGTTGAAAATTCATGTTTTTCATAGCTTTTTTCTTATTCTTTTTTTGATCGTTTGGATATCTGTTATAGCATATAAAACTTCATAAAGAAAATCAAAACTTTAACACTCTATTTATATATTTGGTTTACGGTGAGCGTTTTGAATACCTCAGGGATGGGGCGTGTATCACCACTTCTCGACGTAGCTCTGGTCCTCAGCAGGATGGCCTCACCTGCAGTGGATTCTAGGTGGCCTTTTGCATGGACAGCGGTGAGGCCAGTTCAGCGTGCTTGACAGCACGGGTCATTTGCTTTGCTTCTGTAACTTACTGTGTCATTACCATTTTTCATTATGCCAATAGAGTTTTTAAAACTGTCTCCACCTAGTTTTGAGATTCAGCTAGTTGGCTTTCCTGTGAGTTGGTGTAGTGTTGTTACCTCTTTGTCATCGTGCGTACTTGTGACAGACAGCATGCTTTATGTGGAGTCCTACGTGTGAGCTGGGAAAGACCTTAGACTTGATGTCCAGCCCTTCGTCTCCTAAGGAAAGCAGACTGCTTTTGGCCCACGGACGTTTGAAGAGTGGCTGGGCTGAACGATCTAGATCCTTTCTAGCCCGAGATGTCATGATTCTGGGTAAAAGTTACGTCCTTTACACTCTCACTGGTTTTTATGATTGTGCTTTTAATGCCATTTGGACACCTGAGGCTGCTCCACCTGCAATGACATTGGTCTCTCCGCACTCAGAAGATGCTGACCCCGAGGGACGGTCCCATCTTTTGGATTGAAAACACTCGGTGGAGCAAGTTTGAGATTTTTTTTTATTGAAAAGTGACTTATTTCTCTAAACCCTCTTTATTTCTCTTCCACTACGGGCATTTAAGTTAATACACGTCTCACAAGATTTAGTCTATTAAAATATTTTATACTCTACTCCGTACAGTGTTTACAGTAAGTCCCGCCATGACTCCATAGAGAGTTGTGGGTGCACACTACATCCAGTTATGGTTACGGCCATTTCTCAGGAAATCTGAGGGGCCCTGGGCCGTGGTCCCCTCGTCAAGGGGCGGGGGAGCCCTCTGTCCTCAGCAGCCTCGGTGTCTGCCTGCTCTGCCGCCGGCTGGCTCTGCCGTCCTGGAGCCAGACTGCACTGTAGCCTCAGCACCCCAGCCGAAGTGTGGCGGACCGGACGACATGTGGGTTTTAATGGTCCCCACGTGGCACGTCGCATGCCCCGCCCCCCGGCCCTCCCTGACGCGCGCCGGTCCCACCTCGGAGACCGACGCCCCCCCGCCTGCTCCCTGAGCCCCGCGGTCGCGCCTCCTCCCTGTTCTGCGCCTCGCGAAGTCCGCGCACGCGTTCCCTCGGTGCCGCTCCCACCGCCCTAACCTTGATCGCTGTGCCTTAGTCTCGTCCGTGAAGTGTGAGGTTTGACTGCTGCGCTTCTAAACGCGCTTCATACGCATTTTTTTTCTGATTATAAAATTGTGACTACCGAGTACATCCTGTTACAAAAATGCAGTGTCCTGCATAGGGCTAATTTAAGTGGTCCACAAGGTTCTTTAGTTTCTAAGTCAAATTGATATTATACAGAAGGCAGTTTTAACCTTTAAAACATATTTTTAGGTTTAAATTATTTTTAGATGTTAACATTTTGAAAAACAATTTTGTGTGTGTGTTTCAAGAACGATGGCATAAAACCAGTCACTGAACACTTACACGTTTTACAGAGGTCTGTCAGCAGTGATGATATCAGCCACCGTGATGTCACAGTGTGTTCATTTAGGGCGGCTTGTCCCAGCAGGGAGCACACTCACCTTGCGCTGGCCAACATCCCGTCTCCCGAGGGGCAGACCTCGGAGCCCCAGCCCGGCTGTCCGCACTCTGGGGCGGTCGACGGGTTCCAGAGACGGTTCTCGGTGACCCTCATTCACCAGGCAGCCTGTCGTGGGAAGCCCTGTTGTGGGAAGCGTGCTCTCTGTGGTGGTGACGCGGGTGTTTCTCAGATTGTCCCTGATCCTCGGGGCACCGCTTTTTGGAGAACCGCGTTGAACGAGTGTTCGCTTACTCTTGTTTCCCGTTCCTTTCAGGCTTCTCTACAGCTTAGCCTTCAATGCCAGGTTTCTGAGGCATCTCTGGTTTCTCATATCTTCAATGACCACACGGATGATCACAGGGTACGTACGTGTCACATGGACTTACAGATTGAGCTTAAAACATGGAAAATGGCAAGCTAATAAAAAATGCTGTAAGAAGGTATTTTTCAATGCTACTTAGATATAGCTTATTTCATATTAGAAGATAATTTTACTGCTTTCTATTTCATAAGAAAAAATTAATGCCAATTATATATATAATTACTTATGTATATTAAGGATGTGGATTTATCTAAGGGTTAATTTGTCTTATAAATCTTAGACATTTTTTGAAAACGAGACTTGAAATTTCTTTGCTCTACAAGCATTAAAGATATCAGACATTGTAGGTAGAAGTAGGTTTCAAAACCTTTACGTTGAAATGATATTTTTCTCATCTGAATCTTTCTGTAACTCGAAGGCTAGAATCTTTAACGTGCAGGTTTCAGTGGAACGTGGAGTAAGTGGGGAATTTCACATTCGCGGTAAGCTGCCTTAGCCCGTCACCATGCCGAGTCCCCCTGTCGGGGACCGCAGCGACACCCCCCGCCCCCGCACTGTGCCTCGGAAAGACAGAGTCGACTCAGGTTGTCGCTGGAGACCGAACTTCCACACGCGCGGCACGTGGCGCTGCCCTCGCCGTGCACTGCCGGCCTCGCCCGCTTTGGCGCAAGGGCGCGGCTCAGCTTCAGCGCAGAGCTTCGGGAGGAGGAGTGCTGCTTTTTGTTTTGTTTCGTTTTTTTGTCTTTTGAGCGGACTAGACAAAAAGTTGAAGGGAGGAGTTTTTGTGGTGCGGGCGGGGCGTTCGGCGTTCCAATGTGCCCTCATGTTGTCTGCAGTCCCGCTTGGTCTGTGCCCCGTAGATGCTGCTGACAAGTCCTGTGCTGGGGTTTGCGGCTCTCGAGCTTCTCCGTGGGCGTCGAGGGAGCGACGACCGCGTTTTAGCGCCCCGCGTCAGCCGCGGTCAGCCCTGTGTCAGGTCCTCCGTACAGAGTTACTCTTATGATAGAGGGGGTGTCTCTTTGTTGATAGCATTACTTTGAGTTACTTTCATGCTTTTTTCTTTTAATTTTAATGCATCTTAAGTGAGCAAAGGGAGTTTTTAATGGTACCATTGCAACTGGTAAAACTCAGAAAGGCTGAGTGATTCGCCGTGTATGTGCAGGGAAGGCGCAGAAGTAGAGAGACGAGAGAAACCGAGCAATGTTCTTCATAGCTCCTCCTTTTCGGATTGAGATGCAGGGCTATTAGGTGTGTTTTGGTTTGGTTTTGGTACATTTTAGCTGCTTATGGCCACGTCCACCTTGGCTTTCAGGAGTGACAGGTTTGTTTGAGGCAGGAGACTGGGCCTCACCGGGACAGGAAATTGGCATTGACCTGCAGTGTCTCAGCTTAGCGACAGAGCTCTGCCTGATGATTGCTTCCTTGTTTATGGCATTTGTCTCTGGGCGAGGAAATGGAGTCGTGGTGTGTGAAAGAAAAACGAGGTGACCTTAATTACTTTAAATTATTAGTATTATTTAATAAGTTGGCAAAGTCACGCACATTTTTTTAAAACTCATTTCTTAAAAGCTCGTGAGAATTTGAAGTGTTTTTTTACTTATTTAATTTATTAAAATAAAGTCTCTCAAGAAACTTAGAGTATATTCATCAACTCCCATGTACATCTCATCGTATTGACCATCAGAATAAAATGCCTGATTTTTCTGAAAATGGCATTGAATTTAATCTGAAAATAGTTTTACGGCCAGACACACACAGCCAGGACCTCTCAGCTTTAGTGGGCGTGGGGGCGGGCCCCCAGGTCTGAGCCCAGGGCCTGCAGCCAGACAGGCTCCCGGATGACTGGGCTGCAGGCGGAGATGAACCCCATGACCAGCCAGCCGGCTTCTCTCTTCCCTGAGACTGTGCTTTACCAAACCTAACGCGAGGGCCCTCTGCCCGTGCCACCAGCGTGTGCAGCGAGCGGTGCGTCTGCCCCCGACCCCGAGGCTGGCATGGCCCTCGGGGCCTGTCACTCAGCAGGCTGTGGTGGCAGTGTAGCGCCCGCTTCTCCCTGCGTCTACACCGGTAGTGCTCTCCAGTGTTTGGGACAGGCGTGTGCTCAGCACGGCTCCGGGGCAGAGGGCACCCCCTGGGCTGGGGAGTAGCAGGGGCCAGGGGCCACCGGGCCTCGTCGGTGCGTCTGCCCCGGCCGGCTCTCCTGTCATCAGTCAGTGTCTCTTCCATTACGGTGAGTTATGGACTTTTGATTTGCACGTAAGTCTTTGAGACTGACCTATTTTCAGAGGGATATTTGAGTCAATGTCTATGGCAGAAAGAGCGGCCAGCAGAGGATCAGGACTGACCTTTCATTTCTGTCCCGGCTGGACGGGAGCAGGCGCACGCCTGACCCTCCATGCCAGTCACATTTGCCACTAGAATGAGAGTGATGAATGCCTTCGCGGGCCTCCCAGGGGCTGCAGGAGAACCAGTGAGCTCAGGCCAGGAGCTGCCCTCGTCCCTTCTAGGGGACGGGAGGAGTTTCAGCGTGCTGGCAGGTGCGGGCCTAACCGCGGTGGTGGTGACGGGGACGATTGCGAGCACAGGCATTCCGGACTGCAGTAACAGCAGACAGCTGGCTGGCGCGTCACTCTGGGAGCTAGCACAGCGGCCGAGAGCTGGTCTGTCACTCTGGTAGCTGCAAGAGATGCTTTCTTCACAGCCGGTTGAGGCAGCCGGTTGACGCGGCGTCTCGCGTCCAGTCCAGGTAGATGCACCTGGACGGTAGTAGTGGTTCATCAGTCACGTCCGTCACTTTTGTAGTCCGCGTTTAGGGGCAAGGCTTCCCAAGGACCCACCCTTGCTTTCATTAACATCTACAAAGCATGCGACGTTAAACAGTTTCCCCCGTGCATTGGAAAGTGTCACTGTGGGTGGCCCCGTGCTCAGCTTGGTGGGGAGTGACTCGGGAGGTAGGAGGGGACTCCTGTCTTCGCCACCGGGCAGGTAAGGAAGCCAGCGCCGCCCAGTTAAGTGGCCCTGCGCCTCCACATGCAAAGCTTTTTTCTGTCACCTCAGCTTTGGCAGGGGAGTGGGACATTTGTACTTTGTCCCTTTGTGCATGTCCTCACTGCGTTCCTATGTTGGCCAAACCCTTCATTCTGGAATTCATTGGCCATGGCGCTCAGTGCTGCCTGCACATGCGAGCGAGGTGCGCCCAGGCGGCCAGGACGATGGCCGGAGCGTGCCTCTCAGCGGGAACAGAGTCCGCCTGGGTCCCAGCCGACGGCACAGCTCCCCATGGAGACCCTGAAGCCCCCGGGGTTCAGCCAAACTCAGCAGAGCCGCGCCAGGCCTCGCCTCTGCCGAGCTCACGCTCGTGGAACTTTCGACAGTGCTGGGTGGCAGGTCACGTCTCACCTCCTGTGTACTTGTGGCCTTGTGGAACTAGAGGTTCGGGGTGTGTGCGTGAAGGAAGGGGAGGGGGGACCTTGCCACAGCATTGCCAGCCCAGGACTGGCCTGCCGTGCTGCAGGGCGCCGCAGGGCATGCCGCGTGGGAAGAGCTCGCGACCCTCTGCGAGCTGAGTGTCCGCATTCGACCCGAGGGAGGGGAACGGGTTCCAGGTGAGAGGGAAGACGGACGGGGGTCACGGCTCCTGACGGGTGCGTGAGCCCACAGAGCCTGCAGAGGACCGCCCCACGTCAGAGCGGCCCTGGCTGGGGGGTGTGCAGGGACGGGCTGGGGGACACACCTGGATGGTAGACCAAGGCCCGGCGTAGAACGGGGCACCTGGTTCCTGAAGGTCCATACCCGGGCATGACGTTCGGCTGCTTTGAACGTCCCTGGGTATAGTGGCTGGATGAGCGTCTCATGCGGCCAGGGCGGTCTGCATCGGAGGGTGTGCTTCTCAGCACCGAGGCCACGCCGTGTCCTTGGCAGTGACCTTGCTCCCTGAACCTCGCTCCATAGGGCCAGCCCTGGGCCACGGTGCACCTTCAGCAACTGAACTCACCCTGTTACCGAGGGCATTCGCGGGGAGTGCTGGGTCGGTGCCGTTTTTTGTTATTTATTAACCTATGTTGTTAGAGTGACTTTACTTTCCCTTTAAGTGGATTCATTGCTAACGTAAATGTGATTTTCCATGATTATATTTGCCTGATGTTATGTCTTAATTTGTTCCCAAACTAAAACTCATCTTGAAATCCTGGTTTTTCTCTCCCTTTCCCCAATGCAAGGTCTGTGGTGCCGCTGCTGCAGGTGATATCGAGGGGGTCCCCCATGTCGTTCGAAGATTCCGCTCGCATCATCCCACTCTTTTACCTTTTTAGCTCCTTGTTTAGTCATTCACTGATTTCCATCCACGATAACGAATTCTTCGGCGATCCCATAGAAGGTAAGAGGGTTTTTTTAATGAATAATACTTTTTTATTTTCCAGTTATTTTTGGCATACAATGTTATAATGGTTTCAGGCGCACAGCATAGTGATTAGACATCTCTGTAACTCACACAGCGATCACCCCAGTGCGTCTGCGTGGTTACTACAAGATTCTCAGCTGCGTTCCTCATGCCGTGCTTTCTGTCCCCATGACTGTCTTGTAACTACCAGTTTGTGCTTCTTAAACCCTCACCCCTGTTTCTCTGACTCCCCCAACCCCCTCCCATTTGTCACCTTCAGAATGTCCTCCATGTATCCAGAAGTTTGTTCTGTTTGTTCGTTTGGTTCTCTGGATTCCGCATATGTGACAGTCACATGGCCGTCGTCTCCCCCGGTCTGACCCCCTCCACTCGCACACGACCCTCCAGGTCCGTCATGAACTATCTATTTCTGTGCCCTTATCTGTAGTCTCCGTGTCTGTTCATCGGAAGCGTGAGTCTCTTGTAGGCAGCCTGTGGAGGGGTCTTGTTTTTGTATCCGTCGAGCCACCCTGTCTTTTGATTGGAGCACTTAATTCTTTTTAATTTGAAGTACTTTGTACTTTTAATTTGATAGATATGTAGTTATTGCCATTCTTTAGACTCTGGATACGTATTTTTCTTCTCAAAGAAGTCCCTCTAGCATTTCCTGTAGCACTGGCCTGGTGCCGATGAACTCCTTTAGCTTTTTCTTGTCTGGGAAGCTCTTCATCTGTCCTTTGCTTCTAAGTGCTAGCTTTGCTGGGTGGAGTCATCTTGGTTGTAGGTCCTGGGTTTTCATTACTTTGAATATTTTATGTTAAGTAGAAGGTAAGTATTTTGAGGAATCAGTTTGTCACTGGCCCCATGGCCTATTTTCATAGATGCTAGAAACGTTTTAAGCCTTTTGGTGTGTATTGAGAAGTTTTTAAAAAGTTATGATAGAAAATTGGATCATGTTTTCCAGTTGTAGGTCAAAGACAATCATCCATGATGCCTTTTACTTTAGAGGAGCTAGTGATGCTGTCACGATGCCTTCGCGACGCATGCTTAGGGATCATCAAGCTGGCTTACCCGGAAACGAAGCCGGAAGTCCGAGAAGAATATGTCACAGCATTCCAGAGCGTTGGAGTTACTACTAGTTCTGAAATGCAGCAGTGTATACAGATGGAGCAGAAACGATGGATTCAGCTGTTTAAGGTATAGAGTTTACATGTGTTTTGTTTACTGAGGTCAAAGAATGTGTAAATGTGTTTTGATTTGACTCATTTCAGAAGCATAGAAATACAGGTTTGCTTCAGGCGTAATTTTTAATTTACGAAACCTTTAAATTTAGAAAAGTCATTTTCATTTTACGTTTGCTTTCTTTTAAAACCTTGTTTTTGCCTTGTTTCATGCATCTTTAATAATTGCCCTAAGTACTGTCAGTGACAAGGTAACATCTAAATAAAATTTTTAAAATATTTTTATTTTTCATTAAAAGATCTCTTACAGACTTAAAAATCTTATAAGCAATTGATTAACAAAGGCGGACTAAGCTCATCAATTTAATGCAAGTTGAATATAAATTATTTCAGATGTCTTCATTTTTAACCGTGCGGGATGAGAAGTTAGGGGTCGCCGTGTCTGCAGTGTTGGCAGGAAACCACCGCCACTGAGAATAGAACTGTTGGGGCGGAAAAAAAAAGAATAAGGTGCCTGACTTCCCGTGAAATTTCTGCAGCAAACACAGCTCGTCAGCTAAAATCGCTCATTAAGGGAGTGAGAGCAGAAGAAACGCATTTTCCAAATTGAGCGCTAGATTTACAGTCCGCTTAGTGCTGGCGACCTCTCCACACTAATGTTCAGTCCGAGTCATCAGCTGTCCCTTTAGGTCTTTCATCACTGCTTTTGTCAAGCTATCTATTTAATTGAAAGAAGTTAATTGAATGAAAATGATCAACTAAGCTTGTATTAATATTGCTAATGGAACGTCCTTCTTGGCCACGCTCGGAGAAAGATGCCAGACTAGACTTTAGGAAAGGCCCATTAGCGCTCGCTCCTAACCCGCCGGGCTAATTACAGCCTGCCCGTTCGCCCCGCGCGCGCAGCCTG